CAAATGATACAAAACAAAATGAAAGTATTCAAGATGAAAATAGAACATGATAGATAAAAGTAGAGTTATATAGAAGTTACAATGAGACGAAAACAAATTAAATTTAATCAATAGGCATCAGTTTTTTCTTTAGTCCATCTTTAAAATGGCGTAATTCTGAAGACAATTTAAGAGATTGGGGTAACAAATTCCAAAGTGAACTTGTCTTATATTTAAACATTGTTTTCATTCCCTCTCCCTACACACTTACCTTTCCAACTGTAGTGAAATAGTAAATTTATCAATAACGTGCATGGAACTGGTTCCTTTAGAATAGGCGTATCTCCAGCTGTTATCACTGTGACCTTGTAAAACTTGAAGATCAGTTAGATCTACAATATATCTGAAAAATACAAATTTATCTCTCACATTTCTTTGATTGAAAAGATAAGAAAGGTCATGTATCTTACGACAGAAAGCATGGCTGGATGGCAGACTACCCAGAATAGTTGACGGCTCTATCCCACCTCGACCCAATACCTCATACATATCATATATCAAGTACTGAAAGCAACTTAAAGATTTTGGATGGCAAGTTGACATTTTCAGACTAATAGTGCTATTTTGAGGCTGATATTCAAATTCTCTTGAAAATATAGAAAAAATTCAAAATCATTTTGCTTTTATTTGGAATATGGCAAGGTGCACATGTTTGAATGAGACATATTTAGGGATGTCTTCATACTCCAGTTTTAGCATTAAACAAGGGCTCAACACTCCTGTCACCTTGCAAACCAGAGGCTATTCCCAATCCATCTCTTGGTCTGTCTTTTCTTAGGCCTACGTGCTCAGATAATCAAAAACCAAGGCTTCATCCTCGATCGAGGAATCCATTTTTGTCAGCGTTGATGACGCAAATTGGCTTGGGACATTGCTTAAGTTGTCATATAGTGCGAGAGGATAGATAGCACGATAGTCTGCGATATAATTCAACATAAATGATTCCTCCACAATGTCTTGACGTGTTGTAATTTACACAATCATAGGGCAAATCATGTAGTGTCAGATCCTCAAGTTAATTTGATCACCTAGAAAAACTCATTGAAAACAATTAATCAGAATCAAGAAATTGGTGACAGCCATTCAATTTGCAATGGAAAAAGTGTTGGTCTGTTTGCCCTAACAATGGTGGTCAGATTGGGAATTTATTCAGTTATAAAGGTCAACTTACAGTTATTACTTTCAACATTATATATTTTTTACCTGGAATTCTTAAAAAACAACATACCTCTCGTAAAAATGATCATGTAGTGAATCGGAAGAGAAGCTGGTGGTAGGACTGATACTTGGTAGAGTTGTACTAGAAACAGAACGTCCATCAATATCTTCTGGTTCATTAGGAGGAGTAGACAGCGGCGTATGGAAATCATCTAGAAAAAAATATATCAAGATTATATCATTGTCATCCTCATTGTAAGCTAGCGAATTCAGCCAATCAGAGCCCTCAACAGAAAGAATGTAAACACAGATAGAAAAGCTACATCTACAGCTACATCAAAAGATCCTTTCTACCAGCTGGTACTTGGTCAAACCTCCTTGCATTGATCTTTCCCGGCTTATCCCTACCCATTTGGCTAGATGTGTAATCAAGGGCTGTGATGTGTGTAATGTAACATACAGTCCAATAAAATCGCTGTATTTACATGACACAAGAAAGGTTGCTATTGAAGTCAAGGTATAAGGCTAAGTTTGTAATAGCCTGACATTGTTAAAATTATGATACAAGAAAGGTGGCTATCGTAGTCAAGGTATAAGACTAAGTTTGTAATAGCTTGACATTGTAAAGATGATGATACAAGAAAGGTTGCTATCGTAGTCAAGGTATTACACGCAGTCTGCCATTGTTTGACATTGTAAAGATGATGATACAAGAAAGGTGGCTATCGTAGTCAAGGTATTACACGCAGTCTGCCATAGTTTGAGACAAAGAGGCTAGAGATTATAGAAATAAAGAAATAACATTATCATTGTTTACTGTTGGTAAATAACTCTTTATAAATAAATATATTTTTAACTTTACCCTCGTTCACATCCTCGTCTAGTCGTGGTGAAGTCGGAGTTTTGATTGGTTGAGATAAAAAAGTTCGTAATTTGAAATTCCCCAGATCTAACACGACCATAACACTGTTTGGATCTGACAAATTTTCTGGTATTATAAACTTCGGGGCCGAGATGTCAAAATTCACATCCCATCTTGCTTTACTTTTCTAGAAATAAAATATACATTTAGCTTCATCAATCCAATTCAAAGCAGTACCTGACTTTCCTTATTTACCTGTTCAGATGTAGAAACAAATCATTTGAGAGGAGACATTGAGTTAGTGTTATAAACTAAAATATAATACCACCAGGTAGAATGAACATGAAATTTAATAACTCAAATGTGGTCAACAAGAGTATATCTTCATCAATTAACTTATCTGGTGTCAAAACAAAACAGACCCATATACCCATAAAACAGCTACTTCCCCTGCCTCCCTACCCTGTGTTTATCCAATGCTCAAGAAGGAAAAGAAATTAAAAGACCGACCAGCTTACCCCCTGATTGGACTCTAGAAATTGGGTTAAAGTTTTCTGAAGTTCATCTTGGGTCTGTTTCTTTAATTCTCTCAATTTACTTTTTGTTCCTAAAAATAGAAAATTGAGAACTGAAAATCTACCTTACTACTTTATTCATCCATTTCAGAGAGTCCACATAACTAATAATGATTACTAGGCATCCCATTTCAGAGAGTTCACATAACTAATAATGATTACTGGGCATCCCATTTCAGAGAGTCCACATAACTAATAATAATTACTAGGCATCCCATTTCAGAGAGTCCACATAACTAATAATAATTACTAGGCATCCCATTTCAGAGAGTCCACATAACTAATAATGATTACTAGGCATCCCATTTCAGAGAGTCCACATAACTAATAATATATATTTGGTATTTAGGTTTGTCAACTCAGCGTTTTTTGTCGAGAACATCACTGAAATTTGGAAAGGTACAAATTGATGCTGTCAATGCTCCTGATAAAAAGTTCAGAAAACTCTTTAATTCATGTTGAATTGTGTAAATTGTAATTTTGAACATCATGAAGAACACCACTTGATATCTAACCTGTTATCTTCTATCTATCTATAGTAGAACTAGTTGATATTTAACCTGTTATCTTCTATCTATCTATAGTAGAACTAGTTGATATTTAACCTGTTATCTTCTATCTATCTATAGTAGAACTAGTTGATATCTAACCTGTTATCTTCTATCTATCTATAGTAGAACTAGTTGATATTTAACCTGTTATCTTCTATCTATCTATAGTAGAACTAGTTGATATTTAACCTGTTATATTCTATTTATCTATAGTAGAACTAGTTGATATTTAACCTGTTATCTTCTATCTATCTATAGTAGAACTAGTTGATATCTAACCTGTTATCTTCTATCTATCTATAGTAGAACTAGTTGATATCTAACCTGTTATCTTCTATCTATCTATAGTAGAACTAGTTGATATTTAACCTGTTATCTTCTATCTATCTATAGTAGAACTAGTTGATATCTAACCTGTTACCTTCTATCTATCTATAGTAGAACTAGTTGATATTTAACCTGTTATCTTCTATCTATCTATAGTAGAACTAGTTGATATTTAACCTGTTATCTTCTATCTATCTATAGTAGAACTAGTTGATATTTAACCTGTTATCTTCTATCTATCTATAGTAGAACTAGTTGATATTTAACCTGTTATCTTCTATCTATCTATAGTAGAACTAGTTGATATCTAACCTGTTATCTTCTATCTATAGTAGAACTAGTTGATATTTAACCTGTTATCTTCTACCTATCTATAGTAGAACTAGTTGATATCTAACCTGTTATCTTCTATCTATCTATAGTAGAACTAGTTGATATTTAACCTGTTATCTTCTATCTATCTATAGTAGAACTAGTTGATATTTAACCTGTTATCTTCTATCTATCTATAGTAGAACTAGTTGATATTTAACCTGTTATCTTCTATCTATCTATAGTAGAACTAGTTGATATTTAACCTGTTATCTTCTATCTATCTATAGTAGAACTAGTTGATATTTAACCTGTTATCTTTTATCTATCTATAGTAGAACTAGTTGATATCTAACCTGTTATCTTCTATCTATCTATAGTAGAACTAGTTGATATCTAACCTGTTATCTTCTATCTATCTATAGTAGAACTAGTTGATATTTAACCTGTTATCTTCTATCTATCTATAGTAGAACTAGTTGATATTTAACCTGTTATCTTTTATCTATCTATAGTAGAACTAGTTGATATTTAACCTGTTATCTAATATCTATAGTAGATGGTCATTTCTATAGTTTGGAATGTTTATAATTTGATTGTAAAAGTAAACTAAATACTTACCTTCAGAACGTTTATAGATACCAGAAGATGGCAAGGTGAAGAACTCCTTAATTTTATTGAGTAGTGACGGATTATAAATAATATCAATAGCTCTAGTTCTCACTGAGATCCTGTAAATATAAATAATATCAATAGCTCTAGTCCTCACTGAGATCCTGTAAATATAAATAATATCAATAGCTCTAGTTCTCACTGAGATCCTGTAAATATAAATAATATCAATAGCTCTAGTTCTCACTGAGATCCTGTAAATATAAATAATATCAATAGCTCTAGTTCTCACTGAGATCCTGTAAATATAAATAATATCAATAGCTCTAAATATAAATAATATCAATAGCTCTAGTTCTCACTGAGATCCTGTAAATATAAATAATATCAATAGCTCTAAATATAAATAATATCAATAGCTCTAGTTCTCACTGAGATCCTGTAAATATAAATAATATCAATAGCTCTAGTTCTCACTGAGATCCTGTCAATATAAATAATATCAATAGCTCTAGTTCTCACTGAGATCCTGTAAATATAAATAATATCAATAGCTCTAAATATAAATAATATCAATAGCTCTAGTTCTCACTGAGATCCTGTAAATATAAATAATATCAATAGCTCTAGTTCTCACTGAGATCCTGTAAATATAAATAATATCAATAGCTCTAGTTCTCACTGAGATCCTGTAAATATAAATAATATCAATAGCTCTAGTTCTCACTGAGATCCTGTAAATATAAATAATATCAATAGCTCTAGTTCTCACTGAGATCCTGTAAATATAAATAATATCAATAGCTCTAGTTCTCACTGAGATCCTGTAAAGATAAATAATATCAATAGCTCTAGTTCTCACTGAGATCCTGTAAATATAAATAATATCAATAGCTCTAGTTCTCACTGAGATCCTGTAAAGATAAATAATATCAATAGATCTAGTTCTCATTCACATTTCCAATTGGGAGTATAAATACTGGAATTTACCTATATCTATGGAAATGTGTAACAGGATTTTTCTCAAAGACAAGCTGACAGAATGGAGGATCTTCTGATTGTGTGGTACCACCTGGATCTGGGAGGTCTGATTTCTGGGAGATGACGTGTGGTGGAGACCGAGGGAATGATGCCTGAAAACAAAAAGATATACAAAATCAAACTCAGACTAAAACAACTAGACATTAGTGTGGTTATAGATAGTGTTGAATCCCAGCACCAATCATTCCACAATATGATACATATTGCAATACAAGAGTCACAATATGATACATATTGCAATACAAGAGTCATAATATGATACATATTGCAATACAAGAGTCACAATATGATACATATTGCAATACAAGAGTCACAATATGATACATATTGCAATACAAGAGTCACAATATGATACATATTGCAATACAAGAGTCATAATATGATACATATTGCAATACAAGAGTCATAATATGATACATATTGCAATACAAGAGTCATAATATGATACATATTGCAATACAAGAGTCACAATATGATACATATTGCAATACAAGAGTCACAATATGATACATATTGCAATACAAGAGTCATAATATGATACATATTGCAATACAAGAGTCACAATATGATACATATTGCAATACAAGAGTCATGATATCAGTTAAACTTCAGGGGTTGTTATTTAAAGATTTTAAAACTGTACCTGTGTCTGGGGTATAATAAGATATGGAAATGACTTGAAATTGTTATAGGAATCCTGTAACTGAAGACCTTGTACTGCCAGGGAGAATTTCATGGCACTGGTACGAGGTCTGGATTCAAATTCCATTGTGATTGTGGAACATTGCAAATCAGCCACAGACTTCTTCTTGTCTACAAAATACCAGAAAAATATAGAATAATAATAAAAATAGTAAACAAAAATAATAATAATTCTAAAAATAATAATTCTAAAAATAATGACAATAATAATAATAATAATAATAATAATAATGATAATAATAATAATGATAATAATAATAATAATAATAATAATAATAATAATAATGATAATAATAATAATAATAATAATGATAATAATGATAATAATAATAATAAAAATGATAATAATCAAAGTATCTTAAATCATCTTTCAAATTTCATCTTCTACATACCAAGTATAAATGGTTTGGAAGAAAATAAAGTAAATAAACCAATAAAATGTCCTTACCAATTTGACTTTTATTATTTTCCAGCAAACAGAATGATCCTTTATTTAACGTGAATTTCATCCTGGCAAATATTGTATCCTTACGCAAGAAGGAACTATTTTCAGTGGAATCTTGGATGACGTCCATTATTTCTCTCTCAATTTCTGTTGGCAGTTGTTCGGCTGCAGTTGTTTTTTCTGGCGGAGGTGACGATGATGTGTCAGTCTGTGATTGGCTGATGTCTGCTGGTTGCTGGGGTGATGATGTCTGGTACCATCCACCCCATCCTGGAAACCAACTTTGAAACAAACCAGGTTGAGATTCAGACGACTTACTTGTCACTTTACTCACTTCTGTCTCAGAAGATTTCTTCGATGATGTTGAACTAAAAGACTGTAAAAAGAGAAAAAATATAAAAAAATGGCTGCAAGATTTGTAAATGAAAATATCTAAAAGCAAGAAGAATATTTGAGAGGAATAGCTGCTAGAAAGAGTCTTAACCTCTCGGTTTGAGTTCATGTTTAAACTTTCTACAAGCTGGTCCTTGGTCAAACCTCTTAACAATGATTTTACAGTTTATGTTCTCTAGGATCCTTTCTACCAACTGGTCCTTCCCCAAACCTCTTGAATATTTTTAAGAAGGAAAACAATTGAGGTTGTGAAGGATCCTTTCTACCAACGGATCCTTCCCAAACCTCTTCTTACGAGGATAACAACTTGGGTTTTATAGGATCTTGTCTACCAGCTGGTCCTTCCCAAAACTCTTGACAATTTTTTTTACAAAGACAACAGCTTAGGTTCTCTAGGCTCCTATACTCTTTAGAATGTCAAGATAAATAGAGAAAGTAAAGAAAGAAAGTTAATTTGTGAATATTATCTTACCTGTACACTAGTAAGTCTGTTTTCTGATTGTAATTTTGATAAAACTAATTCTCGTACTATTTTTAATTCTTCATAATCCAACTCCTTTTCTATCTTAGTTTTATGATACTATAAATATATCAAATATTATTACCAGCATTTACACAATGTAATACAATGATGTCTAGATGTCAAGCTATTACAAACTTCATCTTCACAATGTCAAGCTATTACAAACTTCATCTTCACAATGTCAAGCTATTACAAACTTCATCTTCACAATGTCAAGCTATTACTAACTTCATCTTCACAATGTCAAGCTATTACAAACTTCATCTTCACAATGTCAAGCTATTACAAACCTCATATTCACAATGTCAAGCTATTACAAACTTCATCTTCACAATGTCAAGCTATTACAAACTTCATCTTCACAATGTCAAGCTATTACAAACTTCATCTTCACAATGTCAAGCTATTACAAACTTCATCTTCACAATGTCAAGCTATAACAAACTTCATCTGCACAATGTCAAGCTATTACAAACTTCATCTTTACAATATCAAGCTATTACAAACTTCATCTTCATGATGTCAAGCTATTACAAACTTCATCTCTACAATGTCAAGCTATTACAAACTTCATCTTTACAATGTCAATCTATTACAAACTTCACCTTTACGATGTCAAGCTATTACAAACTTCATCTTCACAATGTCAAGCTATTACAAACTTCATCTTCACAATGTCAAGCTATTACAAACTTCATCTTTACAATGTCAATCTATTACAAACTTCACCTGTACGATGTCAAACTATTACAAACTTCATCTTCACAATGTCAAGCTATTACAAACTTCATCTTTACAATGTCAATCTATTACAAACTTCATCTTCACAATGTCAAGCTATAACAAACTTCATCTTTACAATGTCAAGCTATTACAAACTTCATCTTCACAATGTTAAGCTTGACATTGTAGAGCAAAATATGCTTTTTCAAAAAAGGACTTTGCAATTAGTGAAGTCATAAAACACAATTCAGTGGAATTACAAATTCCATTGAAAATTGGAATGGGGCAAATTAATACTTTCAGTGTGCCCGACATACATACAAAATTTAGAAAACCTCTTTACAATCGCTTTACTACAAAATCATAGTTAAATACGAAAGGTAAATAAAGACATTTTAGTAATATAAAGTGGATGAAAAGACACACACTTTGTAATCTAAGCTCTGTAATCACGTTGAATATCACTCCTTGTAGAACATAATATATAATGATGATATAAAAAACTTGACGGTACCTCGTTATCGTGATTGGTTCCTCCTTCTAGCAGATGAGATAAATAACAATCATAATAATCTACCAGCATACGACTTCTATACAGAATAAATTTCCATGTTCTTCGTTGATTGTTCTCACTGATCTCATTTAAATAACATCCAATAGCAAACCTCCACCATTTCTTACAGCTAAAACAATCAGAAATCTTATAATACACAGAGAAACAAAAATAGCTTGCAAGGTACGGAATATCTAGAAGATAGCGTGCTAGGCAAGGTAACAGGGGAATATCTAGAAGATAGCTTGCTAGGCATGGTAACAGGGGAATATCTAGAAGATAGCGTGCTAGGAAAGGTAACAGGGGCATATCTAGAAGATAGCGTGCTAGGCAAGGTAACAGGGGAATATCTAGAAGATAGCTTGCTAGGCAAGGTAACAGGGGAATATCTAGAAGATAGCTTGCTAGGAAAGGTAACGGGAATATCTAGAAGATAGCGTGCTAGGCAAGGTAACAGGGGAATATCTAGAAGATAGCTTGCTAGGCATGGTAACAGGGGAATATCTAGGAGATAGCTTGCTAGGCAAGGTAACAGGGGAATATCTAGAAGATAGCTCGCTAGGCAAGGTAACAGGGGCATATCTAGAAGATAGCTTGCTAGGCAAGGAAACAGGGGCATATCTAGAAGATAGCTTGCTAGGCATGGTAACAGGGGCATATCTAGGAGATAGCTTGCTAGGCAAGGTAACAGGGGAATATCTAGAAGATAGCTTGCCAGGCAAGGTAACAGGGGCATATCCAGAAGATAGCTTGCTAGGCAAGGTAACAGGGGCATATCTAGAAGATAGCTTGCTAGGCAAGGTAACAGGGGCATATCTAGAAGATAGCGTGCTAGGCAAGGTAACAGGGGCATCTGATTTCAGATGTCAGTAAACAGGGTTAAAAAACAGAAGGTATATCTTGACCTATTATTAGAGTTAATTAATGAAGAGTATGCTATTTTTTTATGATCATTTGGGAATGTTTTTTTTTATTCAGTATACCTGTAATGTGTAATTTTATCACATAATGCCCCTCACACTTTACAGAGAGCCTTTTATTCAAACACTCCACTGGTCTATTAAAGGGGTATTTATCAATATAGTTATACTTATTGAAGGTATTGTTCCTATGAATTCAAGTTTTTACATGTCAGGTATTATCCCTTTGCAATTTATAAACAGTTGTATTATAATAAAATAACTTCATACCTTTGTTTAACCGTACAATCTGGTCTGTTTTTACGATATTTCCGTCGTCGATTATGTCGTTCGAATTCCCGATTCCACAATCCGAGGAATTTAAACTGGTCCTGACTGAGAGTAAAATGGATGGCTTCTAGGATGAAATCGACTGATATCCTAGGAATGGAGGAGGAACGTAATGGCAGGGCAGACGTGTAACGTTTCACTCTCGCTGAGGCACTGATTGGTTTTAAAATATAATCATGATGATCCTATAACAGAAATATCAGTTCATTTTTTTTAAAAATCAATAAGGATAGTTGATCACATGGTTGGTAAAAAGAGAAACTCTTGACAGCTGATTATAATTCAGTCATAATTTTTATGTGTCAAGTTCATTATTGAAGATGAGGGGCAATAACTCTTTTTTTTAAATTTAAAATCATTTCACAATAAATTGAGAAATGGGAATAATGGAAGAGTCCCAGGGAGGAAAAAAAATAGAGGAAATGGAAAATATCAGCTGAGAGTCAAGGGGACTGTAAGCTCCTTTGTGGATTACAGGGGGAGATTTTTCCATTTTAAAATGCTTTGGAAGATATTTATAGAAATCTTTTAGTTTTTGGTTTTATTCGGATACATACCTTAGACATGTTCTTCTGCATGGCTTCCTACAAAATACAATTTATTTTACTATAACCAAACACAATAATAAATATCAGAACATATACAACAGATATTAATTCTATTAAATAACACTTGAAAAACATTGTAATAAAGAAAACATTGACTTTCATTCACAAGTCTACAAGTAAATATACAAATTGTACAAGTCTACCAGTAAATATACAAATTGTTCAAGTCTACTAGTAAATAGACAAATTGTTCAAGTCTTCTACCAGTAAATAGACAATTGTTCAAGTCTACCAGTAAATATACAAATTGTTCAAGTCTACCAGTAAATATACAAATATACAAGTCCTCTACCAGTAAATAGGCAAATTGTTCAAGTCTACCAGTAAATAGACAAATTGTTCAAGTCTACCAGTAAATATACAAATTGTTCAAGTCTACCAGTAAATATACAAATTGTTCAAGTCTACCAGTAAATATACAAATTGTTCAAGTCTACCAGTAAATAGACAAATTGT